AGTTGGTCGTGTAACGCACGGGTTCCAACTTCTGGTGTCCCAAATCATGAACTAAAGTTGAAGATTGGAACACCCATTATGTTCTTGAGAAAGATTGATCAATCATGAGGTCTATGCAATGGAACAAGGTTGATATAACTCTACTCGACAATCATCTTATTCAAGGCACAATGATAACAGGAAAAAATGTCGGGCAAAAATGTTGGATTACTACTAAAGAAATTGGTATTCTGCCATGATCAAATCTATGTTGCAATTTCACATTTTGCAAGCGCGAAGGGTTAAAGATCTTGATTTGAAATAAAGATCTTCCGTCATCCAACAAAATAACAAATTAGTTTATAAAGAATGTTTCAAAACTTAAAACACTTCATATCGACTACAGTCCTTATTGTACACTTTCTTATTTTGGGCAATTTTAAAAATTTGTAATCTTTTAAGTTTTGTATCATTTTCTGTTATTCCAAACCAATATTAAATATAGGTAATGTTACGGCCCGTGCATCGCACGGGTACGAGTCTAGTATAGTATAAAAAAGGATGCAAATTGGGAATCCAATTTACCCGCCTAAATCTGAGATCAACGGCCCAATTTCACATAGAAAAAACTGATTAAATCCTGACCACAATTAATAATCAACGGTCCAATTTTAATTTGTAAGAAAATTGAAAGATCCTAACTGTTCATTTCAGATCCAACCGCAGACCTCCACTCCCATACGAAAAGTATGCGACTCTTCCTTCGGAAAAACTTCTCAACTCTCTCTTCAGTGCACAACTCCATCATCAATTGGTATGGAATGTGAACCGTAACTATTTTCTTCCAGATCCGATTGGTCACTCTTTTCTCCCAGATCCGATTACGCTGCAAAAGGTCTATTCATCTTCATCTTCTCTTCTCTTTGAGCGCCAACTTCGACTTGCCCCAGTTTCAATAGTCAGTCGCTACGGATTTGAAGCGACGGTAATCTCTCTCTCTCTCTCTCTCTCTCTCTCTTACTCCGTATGTTCATATACTAACGTCTTCAAATTTGTATGGTAAACACTCTGACTGTTAATTGGTTGGGATGAATTGTATTATTTTTTGTTTTTAATTTTATTTTTTGTTGCTATTTTCACTGTTTTCAATTTCTAGCATTTTCTTGATTTCCCAATAGCAGTAGGTTACATTGAAAAACTTTTTTCTTTCTTTTTTAAAGGCATGGTTATTGGATGTTTTACCCACACACCATTAATGAGAAATAACACGATCGGGGAGAGTTTGAGTCTACTTAGTGGGTATTGGAAGATGTGTGTTGTGTTCATTTAGTGAGTTAATGTTTTATTTTTCTTTTAAAACTTGAGTACGAGTTCATGTTTTATTTTTCTTTTAAAACTTACGAGTCACGATTGTGTTCTTTAAACTTCTTTTTTTCCAAAGAGTTTTATAAGATGAAGCTTTGCCGTTTTAGCACGTGCTTCATTTAGGTTTGACAAGATCTGATGATGTTGGAATTCAAATATGTGGTCAGTAAGGGCGTCAATCTGTAATGGGAATTGAAGGAATGGATGAGTGTTTTTTGGGGATTAGAGTGGATGTTTGTTCTTGTGCAGAGACATTTTGGAATGATGTATGTTTGTTTAGACGTGGTTCCAAATAGTTTCACCTGAGTAAACATGATTTTGGCCTTAGTTCTCTCAATTCAGAGTTATTTGTGAAAACATTATATTGTTATATCTAGAATTTCATTTTTGAATCTTGTGGAGTTTACATCTCTCTTCATCAGGAAAAAATGAGGTTGTATGGCGTGCAATTAGTTTGGGGCTGGTGCCCAAACAGGGTTTACACATCCTTTCAATGGATGGCGATGACATGAAAGAACCAGGGTTTACTATATATGATTCAAGCTCATGTCTTTGGAGAAGTGTGAAGAAATACATAAGAACCTTGGTTAGTTTTCTGTGCTACAAACTGAATTTGGGGCTATTGATTTATTGTCCTTTTGATTAGGAAGGAACAATTAGGACATACAACCTCTTGCTCACTGTATACTTCCTCCTTCATCCCCTTTACCATGCACGTTGCAGGTAAGATCGTGTTTGCTGAACATGTTTCAAAGGACAATGATGCAGCATCATGGAGAGAAAGGCTGGATCAACCCTACAAGAAATCGTTGACAATGCCAAGTGAACTTTATATAAACATCTTGGGTAAAGGAAATTTAGTTTATAAAATTGTCTGTAGACACTAATATATTATGAGTTTGTTGGATAAATACAAAGTCCACTATTCACACACACGCGGGTGCACGCACACATACTCCCTTTGTCATTGATCCAAGAGTAATCTATCAAGAGAGATTTGATCTTTAATGTTTTAGATTTATCATTCCATTGGTAAAGAGAAGAATCCATAATAAACTAATTTTGTTGTTCATGTCTATTCTTCGTGTTTAATCTATTATATATATAAAAGTAGACTAATTTTGAGTAAACTACCATCCAATTTTCATCAAGTTGTGTATAAAGTTAGCTTTTTGCTACCTTGGTTAATCATGCATATACTTATATGAATACTTTCTTCCATAACAATTATATCCTTTCACTTTAATATGCATATATTGCATATTAACTGAGCTTCTTCTTTAATTGTATGGTGATTCATCTATAATTCATTGCAGTAAACTCAATGGTTTGAATGTGACTGGCCATTTAGACTTCAAGATTTCAAATCTCCAACAGTTGAGAGAGCTGTAAGTGATTAGTAGTACTTTAGTACTCCATAATCACTGCTAATGTATTACTATAGTCGCATCTTGTTTTTGGGGGCTTGATCTAAAATAATGTTGAAGGTGAAATCTCATCGGCATTACCACTTAATCTGACAAGCTTGTGAGAAAAGACTTCCAGTGTTGGAGAAGATGCACATCAAACTGAAATGGTTAGTGTTCATTAAGTGTTTATTTTTAGATTGAATAGAGATTGATATGCCACCACCTTTATATTGAATATGGTTGTCCAATCTCCTTACAAAGCATCTTTATGATTTATCATAAATTATGTTTAATGCATTTACTTTTAAAATTATTCTACATTAAAAGTATAACACAAGTACACAACTTCAAGCTTTGAATCCCTTTATAATATTTTTTTGAAGTGTTGATGAATCATATTCCAGTTAGGGGGTAAATTTAAGGCCTCTTCTGAACTTAAACACAAAAAGACTTAGGTGATGAGAACACACTGTTGGTTGGAAAAGAAGACAGCCGCTTAAACTAACAAATGATTATGATGATAAACATTAAAAATAATTCTAAGGCTGCACAATATTACGGAGTTTAAGGTGACAATGTCCAAATATGAGACACTCTGGCCTCTTCCCAACCAGCCTCCCCATCAGGTGCTTCATTTTCTATTTTCCATCTTAAGCTTCATAGGAAAAATTATGTATTGTCTCTATTTAGATGATAACGTTTATCATTGATGAATGAATTTGTAGATCTTTGTTCAATACTTCCCATTTTTGGACCACTACAGATCTTTTATTATCATGTCTTTATACCTTCCGATAATTATCAATAGAGGGCGTCAATATCTCCACCGATGACTTGATTTTGCGTGCGACACTGGCAGTTGACTTGATTCTGGAGGGCATCGATGAATGGAGTTCGTAAAAGCATTCAGGATCGCTTCAGCTGCTGTTGTGACTACAGTATTTTTTTAAGAAATTAAAAATCTACCACATTGGTTCTTTTAAAAGGACCGATGCTATTGCCCTATTTTTTAATAAAAAATATCAATTACATCGGTTTTTATGTAATCAATTGCATCGATTTCAACAACCGATGCAACTGATCCTTACCTTTTGCATCGCGAGCTTTAGCATCGCATAAAAACCGATGCTATTGATCCAAAATAAGTGATGCAAAAGGTCAAATATGTAATAGTGAGACTGACCTATATTATGATGCTGATGGCTTCCTTGAGTAAATTGATTATGATGGTGATGTGAACTGGATGAAACTACTTCAAAATGTTTTCTATTTGTGTTGCATATTTTGCTTTAGTACTCCGTATCCGTAATCCGTATTTAATTAATATGGAGTAGACATATGTGTGCACCATTATATTTAAATATGCATATATTATCGTAACACAAATTTGCAGGTTTTTTGACCTATCTGCGATGTTTCGACTTCAATCAACTGGGAATTATCCCTGGCGAATGTCATCGCGTTCGGTCTCAAGAATTTCTGCAGGTAAAAGCTTAATTTGTGCTTGCTAAGCCTATCTTCAAATTTATTCCATTTATCCGAAATTTGTTATGGGAGTTGGAATTATTTCCTTCATTGGAAACCATCCATTTCTTCTTCCTATTAATTCAAATCCACCCTTGAATAAAGCAGTGAATCTGTCCCTTTGTGTGGTTGGCATCAATAGTTTTCTCCTCATAGAGTGCTGCATTGTATTCTTTCCAGATGGTCTAAACAATGAACCCTGGCAGAACTCATTGAAGATGGGCTAAGATAGATTTTCCTTTATCTTTGATGAACCATGAAAGAAGGTATTGGGTAATGCATTGGTCCATTCGAAATTTCAGCAAAGTATATATAGGAACGACGAAGAGGAGCCTCATTGCCATTATCTACAGTAGCATCTATATTTGGCTTACAAGAAATGGAAAAACACTTTGTTCTATTTTATGAAATACTCCGTACCAGTTAGAGGCCTAAATTGTGTATAGTAAAAGTTGAAGTTTTTATTATTTTTTTTGGGATTTTACTCAAATTCTATTTTATGGAGGTCTAAATTGTGTATAGTTTCTGTTTTATGAAGCTAAACTTCCTAAATGAATTTTTATTGATTAAAAATGAAAAATTTCTCAAAACCTATACTTCGTATTCTTTTATTGTGTCCCATTGTAGATTAAATTTAGAATTTAATAAAGACTATTTACATATATAGCCATATATTTTGTCTATCGAAGGATATCATATATTGGTTATACTAAAATTTATATACTATTTAAGTATTATTCATTTTTAAAATTTATAAATAATCTTTAAACTCTTTATATTCATCTTAAACTATAGATGAAATACATTCCCGTGCAACGCACGGGTGAAATGCTAGTTGAGTATAAAGCAACAAGAAATGGGCTTTGGTCTAGCCACCTCTCATGTACTCACTCCAAACAAAACATCCCTACATTGAATACAATCATCCACCTTCTTCTGCATTTTTTGAACAGAGAGAGAGAGAGCATTAAGATGTTACTACAAACACTTCAGTATAAGTTCGACACAAAATACATTGTAGTTACCTTGCATGTTATTGTAGTGTTATGGTCTGTATCCCCCGACAAGTGACATCAATTTTCGTTGTCTAATTCTCTATCTATAAAGCTTCGCTACCTTGGGCCATTCTTTCTTCCCATGAAGTATGCATTATAGAGTTGCAGGTTTGCTCCATTATTTCGCCTGTGACGATCAACAAAAATTGATGCATAAATGGACTGATTTTATACCTTAGTGCAAACAAATTCAATACACCCAACCTCACACGACATATTACATCAAAATTCAAATCGAATACATTTGACCCATAATACATTCTATCTAATATTGAAGTCTAAAGCCACCATAAGGTTTCAATTTTGTTTTAAATAAATTTGAGGGGATGTAATTTTAAACTAAAACCACTGAGTTTAGTTTAAACAAATGAAATCCAAGTTGAAAAACAATATTGAATCGATTAGAGCCGACAAACTAAAACCATTGGAATTTTCCTTATACAACTAAAATTCAAATTGAAAAAAAAAATGAAATAGATTTTTAAATGCAAATGGGCTTCATACAGCGCCACCACACTGGAATTGCAGATGGAATCCCAGTTTTAATGATGGAGAATTGTGAACCTTTGGATGATTAAGTTTATGAGATGGATGGATGAGATGTTGAGTGGCTTCTATGGCCACTAAAGAGAGGAGTGGCTCTAGAACCCTCCCGTATTACGTATTTTTAACATGTACGCCTTTTGACTTCTTTAATCTATTTCATTTCTTGTCTCATCTTTTTTTTTTGAACACAAATACAAAATAATTCTATTAATATCTATTTATACACTTGCGTACATTGAGAACGACATCCTTTCGAACTTCCAATCAATGGTGTGTGAACATGCATAGAGATGAGACCATTCGTGGACTAGAAGGCCTTTTTGTGTCAACGGTAGGCTTATTATAGCTTGAAAAAAGAGAGTTTATGATGCATTTTGAGCAAGACATAATACACTTATGGTTGGTTCATCAATATGTTTCACATTCCATCCGAACAGGAAAAAAAGGCAATGAAAGCAGTTCATGTTACAAGACGAGCAAAGCAGCAAATTTGAAATTGCCATGCAAAAACGTGATCTGAGATCATCATCATACTTATTGTTATTATTGTTACAGCAAATGCATGCGCTCGATGTAAGGTCGGACCAACCATTCGCCGAGGGGCTTTCCGCACCCGACAAAACAGCCAGAGTTGCCATAAACAGGAAGAAATGGGAAATGAAGCAAGCTGAGAGACTTCTCAATGGTCTGTCTCACGAGGGACGTGCCCGTCACCCGACTCCTTCGGCCCCACCCGGTCACTATATCAATGCGGTTCGGGCAGACCCCCGAGGCAAGCATTTGCCTGCGAAAAGAGGCCAGCGTCCTCGACAGGGCGGTTATGGCAGTCCCATCTGACATCACGTGAAGATTTATCAGCCAGTAAAGGGAACCCTTCTCCCGTACTGCGTCCGGGTAGATATTCTTGTGCGCGGCAGCCTCCCACACAGAGGCTGCTTCCTCTTTGAGACCTGACTTGTGGAGGAAATCTATAACTGAGTCAATGAGTCCCCTCTTGCTGTCCCTGTCCTCACTATGCATGGAATCCAAGAACTGGGTTACATGATCCCTCACATTCTGCCCATCTGCCCCAGCGGATGGCATGGTCAGTAAGAATCTGTGGGCCGGGTGACCCGTGGTCTCCATAAGTTCATACCAAAAGCCCCTCCCAAAGAATGAGGTTTGAGCTTCTTCTGTACAGCAGCTAAGAAGCAGAGTATAAGTCTGTAGAGACGGGTTTAGGCCCAAATCAATCATGCTCCGGAGTATGTAATACGCGTCGGACAACCGATGCACCCTAAGGAAAGCACTGATGAGAGAGTTGCAGGTGGGCACATTTGGGCACAAGCCGGATTCGAGCATCGCGTGATACCACTTCAATGCCTTTTCCAGATTGCCGGCCTTTCCCCATAGGTCCACAAGGATTCCGTAGTTATAATCATCGGGAACGAAGTTTTTTCTCTTCATCTCACAAAACACTGCCTCCACTTCTTCTAGATGTCCGAAATGTCCGAGAACTTCCATTATTGTGCTGTAAGTCACCTTGTCTGCTTCAAACCCGGCATTCTGCATGTCTCTGTAAATGTTTAGTGCCGTGGTGTAGTTCCTGGCCTTGGCATGCAAGGCGATCATGACATTATATGTCACCAGGTTTGGCATACACCCATGGTCAACCATTTCGCAGAAGAGCTTGTGAGCATCAGCCAAGTGGCCTGCTTTGCCAAGGCAGTTGATGATCACACTGTAAGTGAATGTGTCCGGGGAAAGCCCAACCATTTGCATCCGTTGATACAAGTCCATGGCAACATCAAGATACCCCGCCTTGGCATGAATGTCAATGAGCGTACAATAGGTGACGCGATCCGGCTCACACCCGGCTCTCTGCATCTGGTTAAAGACGTTCATTGCTTCACCCAAGTGGTTTGCCCGACCATACCCATGGATTATGCGGTTATATGTCACCACGTTTGGGAGGCATCCATCACTGACCATCTTTTGGAGCAATTCCTTTACTGCCCCAAACTGCCTGGCACGTCCAAGGATGCCAACCATGGTGGTATAGGTATGCCCATCGTGTTTAAACCCATGCTGCTGTTTCGCCCAGTGGAAAAAGCTGAGGGCCACTGAGTGGTCTTGGAGCTTCTTAAGAATCTGGTTCACTTGATAGACATCCAACGAACAATGGAGTTTCCGAAGAACCTCTTCCGTTTCTGGGCCCCAATTCATGTTATGCAAGATGTGAGAAACAGTTTCTACAAGATTGCCAGGAACTGGAAAATTCTTTGTTGTTGGAAAAACTCCCATATGAGCGTCTCGGGTCTTTCTTAGAGGAGGCCATGTACGACCTTCTGCCCCAGAATTCACATGCGCGTCATTCACATGACGGTGCGGATAGGGTCTTGATTTTTGAGGTACTGAATCATGGGACTCAACGAAACCTCTCAGCCCATTACTGGAAAGGGGAGCAACAACTTTGATGGAACCTTGTTTTCCACCTTTGCTGCTTTTTACACCTCCACCTCTGGAAGTATTTACAGGCCTTGACGCTGAAGGTGGTACATCCGCTGAAGCTTTCCCCTTGTCTTTTCGGAAGGTTTTCGTAGCCGCAGGTATAACACTAGAAACAGATTTTGCATGCTCAACCACATAAGAGGTAAGGGCCAAGTCCAGCACACCATTTCCATCTTTTATTGGAATTTTGTTACTTACTAAATCTGATAAAAAGTTGACCGCGGTAATACCCACCCTAACAAATCGATCCGATATAGGAACGGGTGAATGCACAGTGTCTAATTCCTCCGCGCTTCCATAACTCACACAATTTGCTCTCGTGCACGGCGTAGGTGTATTATTAGAGGCAGATATATTTTGTGGCCTATAAACTTTACGCTCTGGATTGTCATTTTTACCGGAGGCAATGGGCCGAGCATCTCTTGAATCTACTAAGGTGGATGGTGTTTTTGGATGTCCAACAACATTCCTTGATTCAGTCCTTCTGGAGATGCAGGTCTCATCCTCACCACAAGTACATGAACTATCTGCCGCATTGCATCTTGACCCACCAAAGATGATGGACCTAGCAGACTGGGAAAGGGTACCAAGCTGCTTTCCCCGTAACATGGTCTGCAATTAATATTCTTTAAGCCTGGAAAATGTAACTATTAGATAGAAGGCCGACAATGCCATTGGGGTCTTACACCAAAAAAGGAATTAAGTTCTTTATGACAAGCCAAACGGATGCATAAAGAAGATATCATTCAAGAAAACTGCACCACTCATACTAGGGAATCATTACTTGGAGGCTTGAGAAAATATTCACAAATCATAATAGGGAATCATTACTCTAACCTTTTTCATTCAAGAAACGCGGAATCAATAAGATTTACACACAATAAAAGGAAAGCAAAGTCATTAGACCACAGGGCAGGACAAAAAATCTACCTCATGTAAGATTTGTTTCATAATCCACACTATATTACATGCATACTCAAACAGAAGACTAGCTTCAGGAGGTTTGTTCCTAATCCAACCAGTCAACCACCAAAGGCAACATAAACATAACAAGTCTACTTTGTTGAAAGAAAAAATAAAAACTATCACTTCCCCAAGAAGATGAAAAAAATGATATCTATAGTGAGTCACAATTTTTAACACATCCATTTCAATTATTTCTATTTATCACAATTCCTCATTAGTAATTGTGTAAAAATTCAAAATTTTTACAATTGGACTCAATAGATCACACGATTCAAGAAAATTACCAAATGAAATAAAGAATCACAACCGCACACACTGTAAATCACACAATAACAAGAACAAATCGAATAACTTTTTCCCAAATGTAAGAAAGTTTAACCAATAACATATACCCACAATACAGAACAGCCTAAAACAGAAGAAAAATTCATAAATTAATGGAAAATACAAGAAACTAAGGAATATACATGATCCAGCAGCAGAAGACTCACCACAGCAGCTCAAGCACGTCTGTCATAAACACTAAACACATATGATCGTAATGAAAAAAAGGTATGAGAAGAAAAAGAACCCTATCAAGGAATGAAGAAGAAGAGTCGTATATCAATCTTGAGAAACAAAAGAAATGTTCAAAGATTGAAACAGAAGAAGGGTTAGAGAGGGCGGCTCTCCGCCGCCAACCTAAAACGAGTTTCCCAGCACTTTGGGGATGTGAGTCGTGTGTAAGGGAGAGTCACTCCTTCCAATTTCTTTTTTTTTAATTTAAAAAAAAGGCACACAAATGCTCATATCTAAATGGGCTAAGGGAGAGCATAATGGATTTTTTATTTCATTATTTTAGTAAATGTTCGTCATCATTAGATATTATTAAGTGTTATTTAGAAAATAAAATAATTTAAGTCCTATTTAGAGAAATAATTTAAGTTGTAGGACTATTTAATGTAAATATTTCTTTTTAAAATTCTGATCTGATCTAGTATGATCTTATCTAATCTAATCTGATAGGATCTGATCTCATTATGAATTTGATTAAAATTAAAATTAAAATTTTTATTATAATAGTTATAATGATAATAATAGAAATAATAAAAATAATAATAGAAATATTTATAATAATAATAATAATACTAATAGTAATAGTAATAATAATAATAATTGTAATAAGAATATCAATAATAATAATAATAGTAATAATTAATAGTAAGAATAAAAATAACTATAATAATAATAATACTAATAATAATAGTAATAATAATAATAGAAAAAATAATAGTAATAATAATTTTTATAGTAATAATAATATTCGTAAAAATTATGATAATATTAATGATAATCATAATCATAAAAATAATAATAGTAATAATAATATGAGTATTAGTTATAATAATAGTAATAATTATAATAACAATAATAATAATAATAGTCATAATAATAATAGTAATAGTAATAGTAATAATAATAGTAGTAGTAATAGTAATAGTGATAATAATAATAGTGATAATAATAATGATGATGATAATAGAAATAATAATAATTGTAATAATAATAATAGTAATAATAACAATTGTAATAATAATAGTAATCATAATAATAGTTACAATGAAAATTTCAAGGCTACCTCCGACATTTCCNATGGCTTACAATGAAGATTTCAAGGCTACCTCTGACCTTTTTCCCCCAAGGATTTGAAGGCTATCCTCAAACCTTTTACCCAAAGATTTCTCGGATATCCTTAACCGTCACACAAGGATTTATACGAATATCCTCTACCATTACAGTGAGCTAAATATGTGTATAAAAACTCAAAAAAATGTTCAACACCTTTTGGCCTATGAAAAAGAAAAAGATCAATCTTTGGCCAGTGAAAAACAGAGAATATACTCTCTAAATAATAAAATATCAACCTAATGAATATGAGAGTATATACTTAAAATCACAAGCTCAATGTGTGTGTATAAAATCAGAATAAAAACAAAGCTCTTTTAGCCAAAATATAAAGATTTAAGAACAAGAACACACTTTAGAACATGAGAATAGAAGATTAGAGCTAGGATTCTTGATTAAAATCAATGAGGATGGTTGGGTATTTATAGGATTAAATTAGGAGCCTTTGATTTGAACAATATAGCTCTTAAGAGCCTTAAAATACCATAAATAAGTTGATAAAACAGTTAGAGAAATATCCAATTCAAAATATGATCATTATGTGTTATTGTAGGCTAAAAACGTGACCAAACGGTCCAGGGCTTCGACCGTTACGGAACCACGGTTTATCGTGCACTATCCCAATGGTAAACTTTAGCTACACAGTCACAAAACGGCCGGCCGTTGTTCCCAAATGGCCCTACGGCTTGACCGTCTATAGCCCAGTGCATATTTGACGTATGGAACCTAGGATTTTTGTAAAATGGCCATAACTTCTTCAATACTCATCGGAATTGAGTGATTCAGAAACTAATGATCTTGTATTGAGAAGATCTACAAATTTTGTGTTGTAGGTTTTTCGAAATTCACAAATTATTATTTTCTAAAATATTTTTTTATTATTTTACTTAAAAATAAATGCCCAAAGGAAAATATTCTTGTACAAGTGCAAGATTGAGTTTAGAAAATCATTTTAAGCATGTTTTGAGTGCATATTGAGATTGTGAATATAGGCATATAAAATCACATTCTTACATTTAACTCTACCTATATTCTACACTAGTTTGGTATATCAACTTCGTTCTTGAGAGTCGTTACTTAATGGGTTCTTGTTGTTTCTGAAACACTTAAACAAACATTAGCTTATATATTATATGTCAAAATCAAAACAAAAGATTGAGCAAACCAAGGCTAACAAAGTCTAGTCTCTCCCCCTTAAAGACAAGCTCACAAGTCTTCACGCAATAATTGACCTCTTTCTGTATTGTGCGGATCTCACTTTCTAAAGTGGGCTGGAATCATAGTCCTACCATAGTCTTTCGACTCAAGGCATCAGCCACAACGTTGGATTTTCGATGATGATAATAAATGCAACAGTCGTAGTTCTCAATCAATTTCGACCACCTTCTTTGTCTCAAATGGGGATGCAATGGAGAAAAAATCTCCAATGAAACACTAATAATAACCAGCTAAGCCGAGAAAGCTCCTCACCTCTCATACATTCCTCGGTGTGTTCCACTCTATGATGGATGAAATATTGGTTGTATCCACTTTGATACCCTCATTGGAAATCACATGTCCCAAGAATGTGACTTCATTGAGCTAAAATTCACACTTGGATAACTTGGCATATAGTTTGTGCTCTCTTAGCATGCCAAGTATGGTCTCTAGATGCCTGGAATGATCTTCTTCTGTTTTGGAATACACTAACATTTAATCAATGAAAACCACAACGAAGTGGTCCAAGTAGGAATGGAAGATATTGCTCATAAGGTTCATAAATATCGCTGGGGCATTGGTTAACCTAAAAGGTATCACGAAGATTTCATAGTACCTATATCGTGTGAAAAAAGAAATCTTAAGAATATCCTCCTTCTAAACTGGGATTTGGTGGTATCCCGATCGGATGTCAATCTTAGAGAACACTGTAACTCCTCTAAGCAGATCAAATAGGTTGGAAATTCGTGGAAAGGGATAACATTATTGATGGTAACTTTATTCATCCATGTATAGTCAATACAGACTCTCATAGAAGTATCCTCCTTAACGAAGAAAATGGGTGCTCCCTACGGGAACACACTCAGCTAGATGAATATTTTGTTGAGTAATTCTAGAAATTGAGCTTTCAGCTCCTTCATCTCCGTAGGTGCCATACAGTTAAGAGTCACAGAGATAGGTTTTGTTCCTAGTACTAGGTCGATAAAAAATTCCACTTCTTCGGTGGTGGCAAGCTGGGAAGATCGTTGGGAAACACATCAGAAAACTCACACGATGTAGGAATATCTTTCTGTTTGGGGGTTTCCTTCCGCATGTTGCATATATTACACAAGAAAGCTTCGCATTTCTTACGAATAAGGCGCTTGGTTTGCATGAAGGACATAAACTCTTGAAGTTTGGGGAACAATTCCCTCTTGACTTCCTCGACTTTACCGTCTTCGCTCTTTAGTTGTACAATGCTAGCCCACAACCGATGATAGCTTAATGTTCGGTCAGCCAATCCATACCAAGGATAATGTAAAACTCTGTGTATGGCAGCTCTATTAAATTAGCAGATAACTGTTGTCCATGAGTCGTCAATGGACAATCGCGAAATACATGATGAAGTCTCATGCTATTTCCTAATGGATTGGATACTATCAGAGGATATTCTAGATTTCCTCTCTAGATGTGAGCTTTTTCAAGAATAGAAATGCAAATGTATGACACTGTAGAATCAGGATAAATTAATGCAAGCATATTAGTGTCGAATAATGAGAACATACCCACGATGACGTCTCGGTTAACCTCCATACGCCCTTTCATGGTGTAGGTGCGCATGGAAGTACGTCTATGCTGACAATTCTTTCCTTAGATTTGGCTCTGCATCTTTACGAATTTGAACCCGTAGTAGATCTTTTACTCTGAGCAGGTCGTTGGGAGGCTGCCTGTGTTTGGACCTCAGCTAAAGGAAAAGCTTGTTCTAGATTTGTGGGACAGTCTCTACGAAATTCTCCTGCCTTCCCACAACCTAATCACAAACCCTGCATGAACCGACACTCTCCTTGATGTTCCTCCTGTAAAGTTTACAAGTCAGTTGCCTCGATGGTTTAGATATACTGCTAGCTGCATGTGACTGAGCCAACGCAGACTTGGTCTTCTTGCAGTTTTGGGTACCCTTGGTGCCTCTAAACATCCTCTTGCTGTTAGGTGAAGCACTCGACGCAACTGGGTACTCGGCTCTTCATCTCTCAAACTTATATTGTAGTTATTGACGTCCTTCTCTGACTTGGCCATCAGGTCATATGCTTAGAACTCCTTGATGCGGTCCATGGACACATGTGGCCGAACCTCGGGGCACAACGTCTTCCAGAACTCCTTGATGCGGTCCATCGGTGTGGACACCAGCATAGGTGCAAACTTAGCCAAATGGTCAAACCTCTAGCGTACCTTAGTGAGGGTCATGTCTCCCTATTGCAGCTTCATGAACCCGGTGCACTTCTCATCACGGGAACAGGATGGTATATACTTCTTCTTGAAGGCCTAGTCGAAGTAGGCCCAAGTCGGGGCTTTAGGTGCTTTCTCGTTGCATGCTTCCACCATTCATAAGCTCACTTGCGGAGCAGCTAGAATGCAAGCTTACGACGGTCTCCCTCTAAAAATTTCAGACCTTCAAGCTCCTGTGTGGTCTTGTCGATCTAATCAAGTGAGATCTGGAGTTCGGCAATCCTGTCCCCCAAGAACTCATCTGCTCTGTTATCCTTCAAGGTCTTGAAGGTGATCTGACAAGGTGATGGCGGAGGTGGTGGCTGAAACATCGGTGAGTTTCCCATCTATTATAAGAAGTTTTCCTTAAAGCCAGGCACAATGGCATCGGGCTGTCCTTGGGGATTCTATCTATTTTCCATGTTTTGGGGTACATTCGGTTATCCATCATTCTGATGAGGAGCAAATCTAGACTCCTCATTTTGGGCGCTAACGTGCTCATCACCAATGTGTAGTGTATTACCTTGGCAGTGGGTTGAAGCTTGACTCATCCTATAAACACAAACTTTTTTGGTTAGATAAAAACACATAACATACAAAGTTAAAGAACTTATTACCTTCCCGGGGCAGATGTGTCTCTAAAGATGTGGTACAGCTTTTCAAAATC